TATTTCACAGAAACACTAAAGGGGTGTGATAAGAGCTGCCTGATGACTGCTCACTACATCTTCCAGGTAGCTCTCCCTCCATTCTCAATTCCTGAGCAGACCAGGGCTGAAGTCCTGGCAACTTGAGGTCCTGAGTTCCAGAGAGGTAAATGTGGTGAGCAGAGTCACAGGATGTCTTGATAGGAACTGTGAGAGAACATAAATAGAGAGAGAGGGAGACAATTAAGGAAAAGGAGAGACAGGAATGGGGGACAGAGAGGCTGAGGAAGGGGGAGACTTACCGGCGCTTCTTAAACCAGGCTAGGCCTATGATGAGCGCAAGGAGGGACACCAGGCACGTCAGTACTGCCAAGGCGATCAGGCCCACTGAGGCATGGCTCCCACCTGTTTTGGGGAACACCGGCTGACTCAGCACAGGATCTCTACCTATGTTGAGTCCCCTGGTATAAGATGACGTGAGGGTGCCAGATGCCTCTTATTAACTCCTTCTCCACTTGAAGCACCTATTTCTACTCATCGGTTTAGATACCTGTCACTCCTCATGGTAAGTTCACTTCAGCATTTGCTAATATAGCATGGGGGGAAGGGCAACAGTTCAGTAGCTAGGCAGACCTGAGACTAAATCCAGCTCTTCCACATTCCGTGTGACTCCAGAAAGTTAACCTATCTCAGCCTCAACTTGCTCATCTATAAAATGAGACTTGCGATACTTACTTCACAGAGGGTTGAGGGGATGAGATGAGATGCTCTTTGCAGAATCATCGCTTCCCACACTATTGAGAAAGCACTCACAAACTACAGCTATTATTGTTAACCACCTTTCCAGAGCCTCCAGCCCCCTCTATGCTGGGGAAGAAATCCTCCAGAATTCTTTATTTGCGGCGTAGTTCTGGATCTCTGGGGTTTTCAGCCTCGTTTCTTCTTGTATAGGGAACACCTCATCACAATCCTTTTTGAGTTTCAGGTCTTTGTTTCCTTCCTTTTGATATCGGGACCCCCTTTGTCTATTCCTCCTGTTTGGAAGCCTCATCTCAAACTTCTCAATCCTGGGTGCGTCAAGCCCCATCCTTCCCTGGCGCCTTCCTCTATGCCCCCCACCTCGTGCCATTTCCAGCCTGGACCCCGGATCTTCCTCACCCCAGTAGAGGATGATGTCCTGGCCCTCTAGACTGCTGTGATTCACCCGACAGGCCAGGCCAGGTGCGTCGCCAGTCTCCACATCCAGGGTTGCTTGGAGATACCACGTCTCGTCGGCATTGGGCAGGATGTCCCCTTGCTGAGTGCCTGACTGCTCCTGCTCACCCCGCATCCACATCACCCACACAGGCTTTGGGTAGAATCCTGAGACGTGGCACACCAGCAGCAGACGACCAGGCCCGGGACCGGGGCCACTGGACAGCCAGGCCTTGGGCTTCACTGTATCCAACAAGGGAATGAGAGGATCTTGATGAGAGGACTCTGCCTTAGAATCTCATGGTCCCCACATGTCCAGCTCCTGAAATGAAGTCTCTAGTGACTTCTATCCACTAGTGTCACCTCGTGTGGGAGGGCCTTCCCTGACCTTGATTCCCCTTCTCTACTCCCAGTCTGCCCTCCTCTGTACTCCTGTAACACCCTTTGTTCAGCTGTAACACGTGTAGCATGTTTCAAACATTGCTTTAACTAACATCCAACCTTGCAGGCAGGGATCCTCCCCGCCCGGCTCAATTTTGAACTCTGCCCCCCAGTGTTTATTTAATTAAACTCATAGAACCCAAAAAATGCTCTGTCAATGTCTGTGAAATAAATAAATACCCTCACACCTTATCTATTCCCTCCTGGGCCTTTCTCTTTTTTGGATGCTCAAATGAATCAGAACCCTGGAATAAAGAAGCCCATTTGGAGACCGGGAATGGAGTACACGGAGTAGGAAGGCAGGCACCTTGCTTTTCCAGTTCTGATTTCCCTGCTTCAAGAAGGCCACTGGCAAACTGGGGGCAAGTGTCATTCAAGAGCCACTGCACTGTTTCCCTCGTCTCTTGGTCCTGGTTTAGCACTGTGATGGCCACATTTATCCAGTCTGGGGCCTCTGGGGCTGCCTTCCAAGAAGTTTCTTGGAAACTCACGACCTCTCTTCCTTCATACGCTACATGGAGGAAGTTTTCTGAGGTGTTCCCAGGGTGTATCTCACAGCCAGCAGACAGCTGTAGCTCAATGGGATCTGCGGAGAGAAATAGAGATCAAAGAAAGGTTTAAGAGACTAGAAGGGGTGAAAGAGAAGAAATGGGTGTGGAGGTTATCATGGGGACCCAGAGTTCAGGGAAAGGAGAGTGGGTGACCTGGAGCAGGCAGGAACGGGATATTTTGAGGAGTCAGAGGCTGGGACATCTCCTGACAGAAGTGGAGATCAGAAGAGGGCGGAGAGCAGGGAACCTCATGAGGTAAGGCCACAGTCTCCCAGTTGAGCTTCTGCGTCAACTCTCTCCCCTTGGGAACCGGCCCAGGATCCCGGCCCTCAGCTCACAGGCTACTTGCAGCATTTTGGCGAAATCCTTTATGTCCCTGGTGAAGCTGCTTCGATAACCCCCAAAGTATACAGCAGCATCTCCCACTGCCACCCGCGCCCAAAGGGCTCCCGGCCGGCTCCCTCTTCCCGCCCTGCTCGCGCGCCTCCCTCGGTCCACTCACCTCCCGAGGTTCCCCAAGCCTGGGGGAGCGCCCAGAGCAGCAGGAACGGCAGGGCGCTCATGGCGCTGGCCGCTCGCGGCGCTCCGCGGAGCCCTGCACTCTGCCCCGCGCTCCTCTCCCGCCCGCTCAGCTCCCGGCCCCGGTGGCCGGCTTCCAGGCCAACCCCCAAGCCCGGACACAGGCGGCCTCCTGCTCGAGCCTGTTGTGGATTCGCTGCTGTTTAGGGTGGTCTCCTTAGTCCCCAGCTGTTCCAACCGCCAAGAGCCGGGGGTCCCAGGAGTCCGGACACCGCCGCTCGCTTCATTATCGCAGCCAGCTCGTCTTTGTCTCCCGTTTCAAGGGAGAGTTGAAACAGCGTGCGGGAAGCTCTTGCAACTCGTCAAGTTTCAAAAGACAGACATGAAGTTGTATTTGTTACAACTCCGACCGTGTTAAAAAAATATTTTTTTTAAGGAGTAAAGTCCTTGCTTTAGCATATGAGTTCAGGTGGAAAACCGGTAGGGATCTTAGTTTTCTTTACACTTTGTCTTCCAAAATTTCTACAAGGGCACGGGTCACATCCGTAATAAAGCAAAAATGTGAATAGTAGTTTTCTCGGTTGTACATTGACAGGTTGGACTAGGCTGGCTAAGATTCTTTACAGCTTTCCTATCCCGGGATTCTTCCGTGTCAGTGTTTGCTGGCTTCCCTTTCCTCCCACCAGGGTCCTGCTTCCCCTACTCCTCCTCCGCGCCCCACCCCCTCCTCCACCCACCTCACCCCTCGCACCTCCGTGTTCTCACTCTTTTTGGTGGGGAGTATTCCTAGACTTTGTTCCTCTTGCTCTCACTCCTTCCGCCTGCCCTCTCTGCCCTCCTCCTCTGGCTCCTCTCATTCACAGTCCAAATACAAACCACTTTTTGAAGAGTAATTGTAAGATGATAGTGTGTATCTGTGTACCTGGACAGCCAGCTCCTGACTTCTCATACTGAAAATAGAAATAGTGACAAAAATAGTGGTTCAGGGCCTTAGACTACCTTGAGGAAAGAGTCCTTCTTTGGCAAGTTAGAACCTGGTTGTGCCCCGACACCTCCCTCTCCCCTTCTTGATCCATGAGTTGGTGATGGATAGCAGAGGAGGCAATGAATTCTTGACCAAGTCCTCAAAAGCAATTAGGACAAAAGCTAAGATAGATGGGACCTTATCAAACTGAAAAGGTTTTGCACAGCAAAAGAAACCATCAAAAGAGTAAAGAGACATCCCATGACATGAGAAAATATATTTGCAAGCTATGCATCAGACAAAGGCCTAACATCCAGGATCTACAAGGGACTCAAATGAATCAAAAGGAAAAAAAACAAATAACCCCATTAAAAAGTGAGCAAGGGTCATGAACAGACACTTCTCAAAGGACATACAAACAGCAAGTAAATACATGAAAAATACTCAACCTCACTAATCATCAGAGAAATACAAATTAAAACCACCTAACCAGTAAGGATGGCTATCATTAAAAAGTCAAAAATAGTCCATGCTCGGTGGCTCAGCCTAAAATCCCAGCACTTTGGGAGGCGGGGGCGAGTGGATTGCCTGAGCCTGTGGGTTCAAGACCAGCCTGGGCAACTTGGTGAGACCTTGTCTCTACAATAAATAAAAACTTATATGGTAGCACGCATGTACTTCCGGTTACTTGGAAGGCTGAGGCAGAAGGATCGCTGGAGTCCAGCAGGTGGACACTGGGGTGGCCGTGAGCGTGTTACTGCACTCCAGCCTGAACGACAGAGTGAGACTCCAACTCAAGAAAAAGGTCAGAAATATGTACTGGCATGGCTGCATAGAAAAGAGAATGCTTGACCACTGTTGGTAGGAATATAAGCTAGTTCAGCCTCTGTGGAAAGTAGTGTAGCAATAAACCCACATACACATCAAAGAAAACTTCCCTAGTCAGCTTTACTTTAAGGTCTTCAGCAGGTGTATCTTTCCAGGGGTGTAGAAGAGCCCAGTTGACTTGATAGATGTGGATCCAAGACTTGAGCCCTGACATTTTGCTGCAGAGAAGTCGGTATTATCGTCTTCCATTGGAGTTAAAGGTCAGTCTTTCTCTGGTGTTGTTTCCAAAAGACCCAGTCTCTGGTTAAAGGTCAGTCTTTCTCTGGTGTTGTTTCCAAAAGACCCAGTCTCTGGGTTCTAGATTGCGAAAGATCTGATTGTCATCATTTGACTGAAAGCTTGGCTGCTATGATTAGCAAAGACTGGGTTACTCGTTACAAGAATATACTCACAAATGGGTTGCCATTTGTTTGTACCTTGTTTACATATTAAGTTAGATTACAGTTCGATACACTCACAGACAACTTTAGGCCAAATTTAATTAAATATAATGTAAACAGGTATCAAAATACCAGATTGTATGCCTTAAATATATACAATCATGTATGTTACTGACATCTCAATAAAGCTGCATTATTATCATTATTATTATTATTATTATTATTATTATTATTTTGAGTTGAAGTCTCACTCTGTCATCCAGGCTAGAGTGCAGTGGCATAATCATATCATGACCTATGGCTGCCTCAACCTCCTGGGCTCAGGCGATATACCTCAGCCTCCCGAGTAGCTGGGACTACAAGTATGCACCACCACACCCAGCTAATTTTTTTTTATCTTTTGAAGGAACAAAATTTCACTATGTTGCCCAGACTGGTCTTGAACTCCTGGGCTCAAGCACTCCACCTGCCTCAGCCTCCCAAAGTGCTGGGATTACAGGTATGAGCCACCATGCCCAGCTGTTTTTATTTTTGTTTTTAAGAAAGAAAAAAAAGAGCCATGATGGAAGCACAGATCAGTCCCGCTTCTCTCAAAAACTGGCTGTGATTCATGCTACTAGATTAATAATTTCTGTCACTTCTTAAGAATTTTTAGTTTCTAAAGTCCTTTCACATATACTGTTTTGTTTAATCACCACAACAACTATGAGAGATAGGGATTACTATTCTGTATGTAAATGAGGAAGCCAAAATCAAAGAAAGGACATGCAATTCTCCAGAGCAACACACGGCTAATGACTCAGGGACAAAACTAGAAATTTAATCTTCCAACTTCTGACTCAACATTTTTCACAGCTATATTCTGAGCTTGCCCCTCCCAGCCCCCAAGCTCTGACGAGGTTGTTAAGTGAAATTACTCCTGTGGCTTCTTTTCTTCAGGGATTCTATAATCCTAGGTCATTAGAAAGAGAGAAGAACATAAGAATTTCTTGGGTAGGACTAGAATCAAAGAATTACACATGACTTGACTAAAAATAGCTAAAAATAGAATTTGTCATGAAATAGTGAAGATATAAAGAGTCCAAGTATCATAAGGGCAGTGCAAGTGATATTTATTTATATTTATTTGTTTGTTTGTTTAATAAGAAAGATAATGAGTGCCACCGGCTTACTGCTGATTCGCCAGCTAGTTTCCAAGCCTCTTGTCTCTCTGGATTGTATTCTGGTTGATCCTCATTGCCATATGTTGATTTGCTCCGTTCTCTTTTTACTCCTAGCATTATTCTTTGATTCTTTTTTTTACTCATAGCCATACTGTTCAGTTGGCTGATTTGATTTCAGTTTCTAAAATAAAACTTTCCCGTTGATCTCCAAAGTACTTTCGGTTTGCTCTCACTGATTTATGTGAATCATACACACACATCACTGCCTGAAATGTACTGCCTCACTTCTTTCGCTAGTTTATTTTCTGATCTCATGCCTCTGGTCTTTCTGAGTATTATATCCTCAGTGCCTGCTACACTGACTAGCACGTTACAGATACTCAATAAGTGTTTGTTAAACAAATTTCTAAGCACATTTTCTATGTCTGCAGCTATTCAAAGTGCTTTCCAGCCATTATTTAATCCTGGTAAAGATGCTACGAGTTATCTTCCTCTTGATTTAGTGGTTTAGTCTAGCTAAGAGTTTTCCATTTTGTTTATCTTTTCAAAAAACTGACTTTTCATTTCATTGGTCTTTTGTATTTTTTTTAAGTCTCAATTTTATACATTTCTGCTTTTTTTTGTTTTGTTTTTTTTTTTTTGAGTTGGAGTCTCACTCTGTCTGCTCACGGCCACAGCAGCCTTGACCTGCTGGGTTCAGGTGATCCTTCCACCTAAGCCTTCCAAGTAGCTGTAACTACAGGCGCATGCCACCATGCTCAGCTAATTTTTTTTTATTTATTGTAGAGATGAAGTCTCACCATGTTGCCCAGGCTGGTCCCGAACCCGCGGGCTCAGGTAATCCTCTCACTTTGGCCTCCCAAAGTGCTGGGATTACAGGCTTGAGCCACTGCGCCTGGCCTGTTTTTGCTCTTTTTTGCACATGCCCAGTTCCCTTTACATTTCTTTACTGTGTTTTGACACAGCACAAAGTCCTCACCAGAAACTGCCAGATGTAGCTGTCCAATTGAGAACTCCCTAGCCTGCAAAACTGCAAGCTAAATAAACTTTTTTTCTTTATAAATTACTCAGTCTCAACTATTCTGTTATATCAACACAAAATGGAATAGGACAATCACTCGGTCCATTTCTGGGTAATTTCTTCAGAGCTCTCTTCTACTTCTCTAAAGTTACCTTCAACTGTCTCTGTTCTGCTATTTAGTGTGCCCACTGATTTTTTAATATTAGTGATAAATTTCTCATTTATTGAAAATTTGATTATTTGTAAAATCCTTCTGTTATTTTTATCATACTGTCCTATTTTTCATTATGGTTTCTAGTCCTTCTTTTTGCTCATTAAACATTTTAAGCATACTTATTATCTATTACTAGATAATAAGAATACTTTTCTATCCTTAATTATTGGGATGTGACTTTTCTTATTGTGTCTGCAGGCTCTTTTCCCAATGGAATTTGTGGTTTTCTTTGTGTTGTCTTCATAGTGAGTTTTTTTCATGTTTTATAATTGTTATCCTTTGTGGGAGTCCCATGAGCCTTAGGTTATGAAAAAGGTCATGCAGAACTATTTTGCATTTGCTTCTGCCAAGGCTCTAGGAATATCAATGGTCCTGGACCAGTTCTTGTGTTAATTTCTCAGCTTGTGGTTTACACTCTATGCAGACAATAAAATATCAAGATCCCAAACCAGTGCATATTAATTACAGGCCTGGGGTTTTAATTTCAACAGAACTTTTTTTTTTCATTTACCCAAGGTGCTAGCAAGTGATTTTTCTCATCCCTTCCCAGTGCTAGTGGACAAGAGTCATCTTGCCCTTTCATTATAGAATTTACATCTGTTAGAGGGTCTAGTTTTCTGCAAAGGATCTCTTTTTCAGGGTGTCACCTCCCACTTCCCAAGGCAAAGCCTCATGTCCCTGCATGAGCATTAGAAAGTCAACCTCCACTGAACAATTATAAAATGCTATAAGAAAGCAATTGGCAGTAATGGGAAACTGTGGGGGCGGTGGGATTGGCAGTCGAGGGAAACGGCTAAGGGAGGGAGGGGCACACCTCATCAACAAGGGTACCTGCATGATCAATGTTTATATACCTAACACTGAATTGTACCCCACATCTTTATAACAAAAATTTAAAAATAAAAATAAATAAAGAAAAAAGTAAAAAAAAAAAAAAAGAAATCCAACCTCCAGCACCTAGGCAAAACCAGGACCAAAATATTCATAAGCTGCCACTTTATCAGTTTACTTTTACGATTATGAATTCAACAATTTGCTTTGTGTTAAAAGGCTCCTTCGAGCTTAACTGTGTTATGTAAAAATTTTAGCTTACATTTCACTCAGTATTTACTAGTCTTTGAAGCTTGTGTTGGAATGCGTAGGCAGTCTCTATTATCTTACTCTGCCTCTGTTGCCAGGAATTGTCCATGATAACGTTTGATTTTGTTTTGTTCTGAGCACTTTGACTGAGGAGCAGCATTTACAAATATCTCCTGTCTAGAAGAGGTAACAGAAAATGAGGAGCAATTTAAAGGACTAGCCAGCGTTTGAAGGTTTATCATGAAAAAATGGGAACTCAGTTGCTTCTCAGTTGCTTTGGCTGATGGCATTAGGTCCAATATATGACAGTCACCAGAAGAAAAACATTAGTGTAACACAAGAATGAGAAAATTGTGTAGATGTTAGAGTTATCCAATAAAGGATGGTCTGATTTGTGTGAACTCTGCCGATAGTGATGTCCATACTGGACCTGAATGATCATTTGTAAAATGTGCTGTTGAAAAGATGACTGCATTGAATGGGGTCTTCCAATTCTGAGATTCTTCATTTTTGTGACCAAATTCTAATCTTAAGGGCTCTTTATTCAAGGTCTGGGGTTAAACTAATAGATTAGGCATATCAAGGGACATTAGCCACCAGTGAAATGCAACAAAGTTCATAAAGTAGCCAAAAGATGGAAGAAAACATATTTTAATGGCTGCTTTCTCAGAATCTCCCATTTTGATTTCAAGGAGAGGGAGCACTTGTCATTTTGTAATCTTCTTTTTTCCCTTCCATGACCCACAATTTATAAAATGCCTTTGCAAAGAAAACATCATTTAACAGACACCTAACTGCACCTAACAGAGTCTTTTTAAATCAAATACTTCCATGTCTCTTTGATCCTTCATTCCTAATGCTTCTTTCTCCCCCATCACGCTCTCTCCTTTTCCTTTCCTTCTCCATCTCCCTCTCTCACCTATCTCCTTCTTCTTTCCTTCTAGCTGTCCTTCATCTGCATCCACATCCAGTCAGGTCATCCATTCCTTCTTCCCTCTCCCACATTCTTCTCCCCTTCCCTTCCTTACCTCATGCCTCCTTTTTG